CTCCTAGGCACAATTGACAACACGGAAGGCATCCTAGTAGCCGAGCGAGCCGCATTCGCAACCGAATCCCTAGCAATACTCCAAGCCTTCCACGCCGCAATCTCCCGAATCAACAACCTAGGCGACAACGACATCTACCGGTGGTATCTCGCCTCCTCAAACGGCAATAACAACGACCCAACACCAGCCGAAGCTGCCAACCCCCAGCAAGACCTGAAACTCAACCTCATCTGGCCCTGCACCGCCCGGCACATCAAGAAGTACTCGGACCAGCAGCTGCGCATGGTAACCGAGACGGCGGAGATATACCGCACGCACGTGAGGCCGTACATGCAAGCGAAGCGCGAGGAAGGACACTTGGGCTGGGTGTTTAATATTCTGGAAGGCAGGACTGAGCAGGAGGATGTGATTCTGCGGGATGAGGGACACGGGCCTGAAGATGGGTTTTTGATGTTGCCTGATTTAAATTGGGATCGGAAGAGTATGGGGTCGTTGCATTTGTTGGCTTTGGTGCAGAGGAGGGATATTTGGAGTTTGAGGGATCTTAAGAAGAGTTTTGTGCCTTGGTTGAAGTATTTGAGGGAGAGGGTGCTTGAGGCTACGGTTTCTATGTATCCTGGTTTGGAGGAGGATCAGATTAAGCTTTACGTTCATTGTGAGTTGTTTAAGGTTGCATTGTGCTGCATTATGTTCCACTGGATATTTGGGGGGGTGCTGTATTGCTGACTTTGAGTATCGCAGACCAACCGACTTACTACCATTTCCATATCCATGTTGTCAATGTTATGCTCGAAGCTGGTGCAACGCAGGCAACGGGTAAGGCTTTTGGACTGGAGAACTTGATCTCGCAGCTTGAGACTTTGTCTGGAGATGGGGATCCTAGTTTGGCTGATGTTGATTTGACATACTTCGTGGGTGAGGCTAGTGAGCTGTGGACGGATATTTTCCAGCCTTTGAAGCAGGGAAAGCAGCCTAGTCGATAGAGGGGAGTTGTTTTGAGACTATCTCAGATACATATTGACCAAAAGCTCTAATGACTGAATGAATCAAAATACAACCCATTCTTCACGAGTGCAACGCTATACATCCAACCAGAAAGCATTACATTATAAAAACCCTGAAAAGAACGAACGAGTTAATGATGATAAGATATTAATATATGTAATTCTTCTTAAAAGTCATATCTACACGTTGTTCAATCATACATGTTCCCGTACAATGATCCGTTCAGCATCATCCCTTTCCGTCGAAGTCTGCGTAACCTCAAACGTGCGATGAATCCCCAGCCCCAGGTCAGGCAACCGAGGCGAAGGCCGATCAATAGTCAACCTCTCCTCGCTGCTGCTCGGGCTCGTGGAGTAGGTATCTTGGCGATCTCGATGGCCCTGGATAGTCGTGACAGTGACAGCAAGTTTATCCGGCCTCAATCGAGACTGCCCGCTGTCGTCCAGTGAGCCTAGAGGAAAAGGGCGGTTTGCAGATCCTCCCAACGGGCGCGAGGCAGACCGTGAGCGTCCGCCCGGAAACCCAGATTCGTAGTATGGGTCTGTGTGGGAGCCGGTCCACATGCGGAGGAGTGGTCGGAGGGTTGCGAGACTACCGGCTGTAATGCCGAGGCCTGCTTCGACGTTGGACCAGACGGCAATTTGGTATGTTGCGTCTAAAATGGCGGGGGTTGGTTAGTTTTCTTCATGTCTTGGTGTATCATTCGGAGATGGTCGGGACCTACAGAGGAAGTCGGGGTCATAGAATGTTGCGACGAAGGGGACACGGACGATAACCGCGGATGAAGCACTATGTAATATCTTGTCAGCGGTCTGGAAGAACGGAAACTCGAGAAGCAAAAACATACATGCAAGCCATGCTTAAGATTCCCATGACGGCGATCTTGGTCTGACGCTTCATGTGAAGTTTGTGGACAAGGAAGATGGGCAAGATGCCGACGGTGAAATCACACAATGCGGCAAATCCACTGTAAATGTAGGTCATGATAACGATGATCTTCATATCCATACATTTTCCTATAATATTAGGATCGTTGGCCAGCCTCGTCCAGAAGTATTCCAGTGGCCTACACTGGAGGAGCATGAGGAACATGAAAATCAGGCCTGCTATGACGGTCAAGGCCATGACGGTATAGAGGATCCAGATGTGGAGGGGTTTTATAGTGATGCGCATTAAGAAGATGCAGACGGAGATCTTGCATCCAACCGAGGCAAAGCAGTAGGCGATCTCGCAGAGCCACCAGTACCTCATTGCAATGAGGCGGTTTTCGACAGCGAGGTTTTCGAACATATAACCTGTACCATAAATTGAGCCTCCGATCATGGTTCCGCAGAACATGGCGTAGAATAGCTGTGGCAGATTGAGATTGTTAGATTTCTGGTATAACTCCAGAAGAACAGGTTCGGGAAGATCGGAAGGTCGGGAAGGATTCAAGATTGAACATACCAATGCTATTACCATAGCTCCATCATCCCATCCAAATGCCTTTACGATCCAACCGCGCACATAGATGCGCAGCATCACCGTGATGGTGGCGATAGGCAGGAAGACCGCGGCGATGGTCTGCACGGCCGTCTTTCTTTGGTGTTCGTCTGTCATATCGGCAGGGGCTTCTCATGCCGAGAAGGATTCATATGTGTGGGGGGAGAGGGATTCTTAATAAAACCGTCCTCCTGTCACGACCCGCAAAAATCTACGTACAAAATACAGGGGCAAAGAGAGAACTAGAACCTTTTCGCTCTTGACCGGCCAAAAATGGGGTTTTAGTTGACCCAAGAAAACAACGCTAAGCCAACGATCGACGACACGGCACACATAGTTTTGTCCACGAAGGTAAATAGGGTGAATTGGGTTGAATAGGAGCTAGAATTCCCTTTCTCTGAAGTCATGCAAACATAAACATATAGGATATTAATTAGCAATATATGATTGCAAGGTGTTAAAAGTACCTAGCATGACATGTGGGAGTGAGACAAGAAAACGGCCATTTCACTAGGGTTTCAGGAGTGCCGGTTCGGGAAATTTTCGGCAGATGGTTGCTAAAGGTACCACGCCGTTGGGTTCTAGGGCCTGTAGTTTGATTTTGACTTCCCGTTCCCTTTTTTTTTTTACGAGGTCCCCGAAATTGACACGGGAAATCAGTATGTCAATCCAGTTACTAGTGGACACTAGATGCTTTCAGAAAGACTGGCCGCTCTTGCGTCTGATCTTTTAAACGCAGGCAGGGTGGCGATCATGATCAAGCTGACGCGAACAGCTTGCACTAGTGTCTTCCGAGGAACAATGGCTTTCTCAGGTATCCGCCTATTTAGCGTATGATTTCATAGCCCTGTCCACTCTTACTTGTTCACTGTGCCTAACAGCGAGGACAAGTAGTGCCTTCGTATTTAGAGTTCCCCCTTTTGGACGTTCGAGCAAGCTAAATCTTGTTTTATAGCAGGTCAATGCAGAAGTATCAAATTTTAACTGAGATTAGATCTGTTGCTATTCATATGATTGAACGTCGCTATGGGCCACGTCCAAACTGCAAACTGCAAACATGCTGCAAACATGCTGCAAACATCTTCTGCCTGACAACCTGGTTTTTCAGGGTTCCAAGGTCATTCCTACTCCAATTGCGGGCACAACTCAAGACAGATACATACTTCTTATGTTCATATTATTCTGTTCGTCTATCTCTTTTCTAGTCAAATATAAGGAGTACTACGGAGTATATCCAACTGTCAAAGCTCAATTAAAGTATAATCAAAATCAATTTAAGCTGCAATTACCTAAAGCACTTAATATCGGCCCCCATAGAAAACGTGGAAACTAAACGGACCCCGCAATCCTTCGATCCTTCCACCTCACCTTATCCCAAAGACATACTTACATTGCCCATAACCATATCCATATCCATATCCACCAATCCACCAATCCACACACAATGGCACACGTCGATGTCCCAGCCACCCAAAAGGCCTTCGTGCCACTAGGTCCGCCCTCGCCTCATTCCCCATCCACCCAACCCCAAACTAACCCCTCACCAGAAAACAACCCAGAAGTAATGTCCCATTTAGTACACCAACTCGGCCTTTCCCCGACCCTAGGCTTCACCGACGTATTCTCCATCGACGAGCCAGACCTCCTAGCCTTCGTCCCGCGCCCCTGCCAAGCCCTCCTCCTCGTCTTCCCCGTCTCCCAAACCTACGAAGCCTCCCGCGAAAGCGAAGACGCCTCCAAACCAACATACACAGGCTCCGGGCCCTCCGAGCCCGTGACGTGGTTCAAGCAGACAATCCGGAACGCATGTGGACTGATCGGACTTTTGCACGCGGTTTCAAACGGCGAGGCCCGGAAACATGTCATCGCCGGCTCGGATTTAGATATATTGCTCCGTGAAGCGGAGGGCCTGGAGCCGATCCAGCGCGCGGATCTGCTGTATGATAGTAAGGCGCTGGAGAGTGCGCATGCTGATGCGGCGAAGTTGGGGGATACAGCTGCGCCGGCGGCGGAGGATAATGTTGATTTGCATTTTGTTGCTTTTGTGAGGGGGATTGATGGGACGCTTTGGGAGTTGGATGGGAGGAGGAAGGGGCCTTTGGCGAGGGGGGTTCTTGGGGAGGGGGAGGATGCACTTAGTGAGGCTGCGTTGGAGTTGGGAGTTAGGAGGTTTTTGAAGATGGAAGCGCAGGGTGGGAATCCGGATTTGAGGTTTAGTTTGGTTAGTTTGGGGCCTTTGTTTGATTAGAGTAGGATTGGATTGGGGATGAGTTTGTTCTTTTCAAGGTTGTTTCTGGATCTGGTATTCGGATACATGATATGTCTTTTTGAGCTGTGCCTTGAAGGCAGTGGTACGTTGTTAAGTACATTTAATGATATGTGTCTGTGTCTGAAATTCCGCTGAATAAATGGTTATGGTATACTGAGCTGTGGTGTTTCAGATATCGCACACATTTTTGCTCTTCGATCCCAATGCTGACTCTCTTCAAGACTAAAAAGGTCAACCGAGTAGGCTACCTCTTCTCGTGCTCGGTGATATCAACAGTAGAAGAAATAACAGAATCCGTATTAGGAGTAACAGCTGTCTTCTCGCTAACCTCCTCTTCGGGAACCAACTGCTCATTTTGCGGGACAGAGTTGCCCTGTTTACCAAGTGTCAAGAACGGTACCAAAAGTAAAGATACCCCCGAAGCCGCAGCCGCAAACCAATAAACTGAGAGGTATGGCCGAATTGCAGGCGAGGAGGGGGTCATACGAAGAGCGACCGAGCTCTCCACGGAAGTAGCAATACCAACGCCCAGGTTGCTGCACAACTTGATGACGGTGTTGAAGATGCCGCCGGCGATGGATTGCTGGGATGGCGGAAGGGTGGACATCACGTACATCTAGATGAAATTGGTCAATACTCCCAAAGACAAGGAATGGAAATGACGTGGGGTGTTAAGCATACATTTGTGACGTTGAATTGAATGTCAGCACCAACAACGACAAGAACTAGCCCCGGGAAAACAAATGCCCAGTAGCTAGCTTCCTGCTTCATGAAGCCCAGGATAAGAAATGAGGCTGTATACCCCAGTGCTCCAATGCCGGTTAATATTTTGTTGCTTATGCGGTGCAGGACCAGACCACAGACAACATTGACCAACACTCCGCTGACAACCATTGGGAGTAGCTGGACAGTAATCTCAAGGGCAGATAGATGCTTCAGGTTTTGAAGGTAGAGGGAAAGGAAGAAGCTGACGGCCGAGAAACCCATGAAGCCAAGGGAGCACGTTCCAATGAGCTGAACAGTTAGTTATGATGTAGATCATAAAAAGTCGACACACATACAAGAGAGAAGTTACGATCTCGCCAGACCCAAAGAGGCATCAGAGGGTTTGTAGCAACGGACTGCCAATACAGAAACACCACGAGCAGGAAAAATCCCACAATAAACAGAGCAAGGACGTATCCCGTTTTCCAGCCATCTGGAGCATCTGCAGCCAGCCTATATATAGACATAGTCAGCGGGTATCCCAAGAAGGTATGTATCCAATCCAACAGGAAAAAAAAAAAAAAAACATACGAAAGCGAGCTCGAAAAGAATGCAAACCCAACAACAACCAACCCCATCCCAAGAAGATCAAACTGCTTCAAAGCCTGAACACTCAAAGGCGTTCTAGCAAACCCATCAGCCGGCACTGTCCAAACGGTCAAAACGGTAAAGATAGCATAGACAACAGCAAGAGCCCAGAAAGAAGCACGCCAGTTATACAAATGCGCCGCGACACCGGAGATGATCATGCCGCCGACAAAGCCCAGCGGATTTCCCGCGCTGAAGCAGGCAAAGGCAAGATTCTTGCGTTTTGAGGGTTTCTCGTAAGTAGCGCCTAGAGCTCCGACAGCGGGTGGGACGACGGCAGCTGCGAATAAACCTAAAATTCCAGAGAAGACATCCATGTAGATGGCGTTTGTTGCAAAGCCGGCGATGAGTAGGGAGATGGTGAAACCGCCCATACCGATTATAAAGAGGACTTTGCGGCCGAACATGTCGGCTAGCTTTCCGAAGGTGAGTAGGAAGGCGCCGCTTGTAAGGCTGTGGTTGAGTGCATGGTTAGTTGGTGTATAATATATGGTGTGATATATGATGTATGTATAACATATATATGGGAAGGGATCAAGATCAAGACCCGATACAAACTGGGGGCAACTCAAATTGAGTAAATTGGGGGGAGAACGTACGAAGCACCGGCATTGATCCAGGTGATTTCAGCGGAATTCATATGTAAATCCTTGCCAATCGATGCGGTTACTCCCACAATACAGCCCTGGAAGAATGACTGCTGGCCAATGGCCATCGTGGCAGTTAAGACGAAGAGAACTTCTTGAAATGTGCTGCTGAAGCATTTTGGACGGTCCGAAGTATTGACTGCTGAATCACTTGCACCATTCTCTTGATCTTTCGCCATTTTTGGGAGATCTTCCACGGAATTGTGAAAATTCAGTCTATCTCGATGAGGCTGAACTCGTTCGGCAGGTTTAGCGGGTTACACGGCGTTAATCTAAGCGAGAGTCGTTTCCCACGTTTTCTGAAAGAAGATATGTTCTGCAATAGAAATTGAAGATGCCATTTTATTACTTATCGAGTGTTGCATTCGCAATTCTAATCAAAAACATGAAAAAATTTTGTCAGCGCGGAAGGCTGCCGCGCTGATCGTGGAATTTGGCCCCCTGGAAGGACTAAGGGATGCGGTGTGCTAGCTCATAGGACCATCTCCATGTACACATGTATGTACAATATGTAAGCACCATACATCATATCATCCATGGATGACACTCGTACACCTAAGTGCTGAGTCAAAAAGGTAACCCCCCGCTTATTAACAGCATTGGAAAGTCACCCAACGTGACGCGTCTGGCCGACCTAAAAAAAGACCTGATTTGCATAGCTATGCACATTCATGTAGGTCTGCATCCCTCTCACCCTCAAGATCGACCCAGCACTCACGAGCGTTGAACCGGAGAACCTCATTACCAGCAGCCCACCAACCAGCCGTCAAGTTGCGCGCAAACACCTCGAGAGCAGAATACTCCTGGAGCTGACCATCCTCCATGAAAAACACTGTCTCAAACAATGATTTCAAGTTCGGTTTCCGAGAATGCAAGTCCGGAACCGCAGCTATGACTCGTCTCGTTGTAATGGCCTCACTCACCAGTGTCAGATCATCCATCTGAGACAGGGGCGGTGTGTTGTCGGTGTTACCGTTAGTATTGACATTGGCATTGACAGTATGGCCACTCCTGCGGCCAATGACAAGGATCTCATACGGTTTTCGCCAGAGACCATCCAGTGCTGAAATCGGTTGTCCATCCCATGTAGTCTTGACCCAGATCCATTCCTCGCAGATACAAAAGCCCGCTCCGCTCAAGGCTCCGTATGCTGCTCGTCGGGCCTTTTCCGCATTCGTGATCCATATCGCGGCTACAGACTGTTCGCTTTGGAACGGGAGGTCCGGGTGGGGTTCAGATGGATGGAGCCCCTGCTTTGTTTTCGGGTCGTGCGAGTGTACACGGAGTATATCGCGTAACCCTTGGGTGAGCACATCCATCTCGGAATAGTGATGTGTTTGGTAGTGCTTGCTGCGTCGCACAGATTTGTTTGGCCAGGGCGGGTCCATGAGGATGAGATTGAATTTCTGGTGATGGGGGAGTCCGGGGATGGGGTAGTTATTGGATGCAGATGGACGGTCCACTTCGGCTTCAAATAGAGGTATTGTACAAAGCATAAAGCTCGACTCCGGTGGGACGATATATTCACAAGGAAGATTTGTTTCATCACCGTGCCCGCTTCCAACCCTGATTATTGCGGGCTCTGGTGATGGATTCTTGACGATGGCAAGATCTGATAAGGACTCAAATTCATTCGGCGACGTAGTCGACAGAATCATTGGTGGTTCATTTTTAGTCGAGACATGGCCATCCGACGCAGACTCTAAGGGCGTATAATTGTTTCCCCTCCGGCGCTTCCGCGGATGCTGATTCGGCGCTGTGCTATCATGAGGTTCAGATTCACTAGGTACAGCTCGAGCTTCACACCATCGACGATTATGGGAAAATCTAGTCTTGATAGCTTCGAGGGAATCCCTCACAAGCGGTAGTATCAGTTCCGAGTGGAACCGCCTCTCAGAGATAGGAATGGTGTCGAGGAGCCTGGCGAGAGCAGCTGGCTTTTTAGGCTCGGTGGAGGGGAATGGATCTTTTATAGGCAAGCATGAAATTAGGTTCGGTGTCTTTCTGTGTATGCTCTTTTCTGTTCCTGAACCGGATTCTGGGGCTGGTGGTTGGTGTGGTGTTGGTCGCCCCCCTTGTGCGAGCGCAATTGAATGCGGGATGTCGAGTAGGTATATATTTGTATCCTGGAAGAGAATCGCAGTATCCTCTTGGGTACTATTGCTCATTTCTGACCTTGTATTTCTCTTGTTGATGATGGTGGAAATGAGGGACGGATTGCACCGGGTAGTTGTGGAGGTTTCAGCTCTCAGCCTCATATAAACTCCTCAACATCGGAGGGATTTTGATATAAAGTTGATTCTTGTCATTTCGATTGAATTCGATTTATTTACATTCACTACGATACAATCTCTTTTCACATCTGCATCAATTCACTATGCTCCACTAGGCAGCCAAAATCTCGATCTTAAAACAATAGACAGAAGAGAAAAAGGTCCTATCGTAAGATCACAAGATACAAGGTCATTCAAAAACGCTGAAGATACAAAACTGGGCCTCCACCCAGAAGAGACACAAGACTTTTTCACCACCGATTCCCCATGCATCCAGTTCCTCTCCCGGGTCCGATTCTCCCCTGCCGGCGATCCAGCGTCCGATCAGGGCGAAGAGATAGGACAGTGAAATCACAACACGTAGCTAGATAAACCCGCTTGGTCTCCATGAGAAACTTCAAAAATGAGAAAAAAATAGAAGATAAGATGGTCAAGAAAATTTATACATGTAGATGGGAAGGCAGATCGATTAGAAATCATACGCGAAGATGGCATCAACGCTGGGCGCAAAAAGACATGTACGTTAGTATTGCCGCATTACACGGTTTAGGGACGATCCGAGAATGAACTCACCCGTCCACGTCGACCTCCGCCCGACTGCCCCTGCACAGACTGAGCCTGGGGGTAGTATTGCGGAGGGTATTGATACATATGGGCAGGGTTGCCAACGGGGCTGAACTGTTGGTAGTTGTTCTGGGGAAGCATCTGGTTCGGTCCAATGGACAGCGGGGGAGTCTGCTGCGGTTGCATAGATCGCAGGTTATCCACAGCAGGCGAGCCAGCTGGGTAGCCATAGTTGGCGCCTGGAATGCCAGGATAGCCCGTGGAAACGCCACGAGCCTGTGCGGCGAGGAAGGCTTGGTATTGTAGCTGTTGTTGGCTCAGAGGTTCCTGGCTGTATCCGCCTGCACCGCTAAGACCGTTTAAGTGGTTTCCGAGTCCGTTGCTGGAGTATGGATCAAGGGGCGGGGGGTTGGACGGGTCGGCAGAGATAGGACGGTTGTCGGGGTTCTGTCCAAACGCGTTGGGAGTAAACTGCCCATTATACTGTCTGTCCATGGCCGTCTGGGCTGGATAGCCTGTGCTTCCGTGGCGAGAAGATTGGCGGTGTTGCGATTTCTCCGGGGTGGAGTGCTCACGTGCATGGTGATGCTCCCGACCACTACCTCGTGAGGAGAGGCCGACTTCATCCATCAGACGCTTATAGCCTTGGCTTGGGGAAGCTTTGAGCTTTGTGAGAACCTTAGACACGTTCTTCACGACTTCAGTCCGCATAGACTCGTCAAAGAACGGGGTGGTTAAGACCTTGAAGATCAGAGTCGCACCGGATGTCTGGTCGCTCAGGATCTTCTCCAAAACTTCGTCGCCGGGACTGAAGAAGAGTGCCTTCAGAACAATGTCGCGAGCATCCGGCTCGTTACGCTGGTTGATCACCTTGAGAACAGTCAAGTAGGCAACCTTGTGGGTGCAGAGGTGAACAAGGTGAGGCACGAGTCTTGGGGCCAACACTGTTCGGCGGTGAGGGAATGTGCACGTATCAAGGAACCAAGTCAGCAAAAGAGCTCCGTTGGCATTAGTAGCCAACTGCACGCTGTGAAGAGCGATAGCAGATGCAAGCATCCGCTGCTGATCCTTGGTGGCATGGTGGCTTTCGAGACAAGCCCGCATCGCTCGGGCGCCGAAACGTCCCTGGGCAATTTCCCACATTCGGCTGAGCATAGACTCAAAGATAAAACTATTGAAGGGGCTGGCAAATCGCAGGCAGCATTGCAAGACATAGTTTCCATACTGATCCAAGAAAAGAGGAACAGTGTAAGGGCGGAGAGCATCAACAATCAACTGCATCTGCCCAGGAGTCTTCGCGACATCAATGATCTTCTGCGCAGCCCAAGTTCCATTCTTGTGAACACCAATTTCAGAGAGATGGGGTGCAATATGAGACAGCATCTGCTCCTTAGTAGATTCAGAGCAGAATTCAAACAGTTTCTGAACCACGGTGTTGCCCAAGTAATCGGACGCTAGCTCTGCTACTTCAGGAAGCATGGCCTCGGCAGTCTCCTCGATCTCTTGGATCGAGCATGCGCCATTATCAATGCGCTTCCGGATATCACGGAGACGAGGGGCGTCGAACATCCGGGACTGGCTCGCTTCCTGGACCGAGGGGATTTCATCCTCGAAAGCCTGGAACGCGATGGAAGTCTGGATGCTTGCCGTGATGTTCTTCAAGTCATCTTCGCTTGCGCCGAATTCCTGCACAATTTGTACCATCTCAGGCAACAGATCAGCCAGAGCAGGAATCTGAGGGATAACGTTAGCGTTGTCCGCTCGATCCGCCCCATCTGCCGTTGCAAGATTTGATCTGAAGTTTTGGTCAGGAGTTGGAGACGACTGGATGCCATTTGCGCCAGGAGTACCGGTGGCTGATGCACCGGGAACCTTGGCATAACCAATTCTAACGGGGCCTGCGCCTGGGAAAATCTCCTTGCCATTGAGCAGCGACTTGGCTTGCACGGCGCTGTCAAGGCGATCAAAGTTGACAAACCCGCAGTTCTTGTGGGTTAGAACACGAGTCGACTCGATCTTTCCATACATGCCAAAGATGGCCTCTAGTGACGTGACGGTAGTGGAGACGGGAATGCTACCAATCCAAAGTGCCCGAGTAGGCCCATCCTGATTGTTCTCATCTGCCATTTCGCCGGCCTGTCGGCCACCCATGGCTGGAATACCGTTACCGCCGAGATGCATCAGTTGAACTGCCTCGGACAATTCGTCATATTCACCATTCTCGGGGATCTGCAGGTCAGCAGCACTGAAGCTGTTGTCGAGGCGGGAAGGTGTGGCGAGGTAGTTGCGAATGGATGATCGCTGGGGAGGTGCCTCCAAAATGCCAGCAGTCCGCGCCCGGGGTCTGCTAACAGAGGCATGGCTGGCGAAAGCCTGGACGGCGAGATTATGCTGGTGAATCTGGGCCTGTGTGGCGGCAAGTTGCGCGGCAGTTGCAGCGGCGGTTGGTGTCATAGTGCCGGAGGGAAGTTGAGAGTAACGGCTCTCGTATTCAAGATCCTCGTCATCCGCGTACTTCTCCTTGGCATTGACAGAGTATGATCGGAATCGATTATTGTTCTTCATCATCGCCAACTCAGCCAGGAGTGGCGGCAGCGCGGAAGCTTGTTGTTGCTGCTGCTGCTGTTGCATCAAAGCTTCCATTGAGGGACGTGCAAGAGAGGACATTCCCTGTTGAGGGGTCTCAGCAAGCCCCAAGTAATCCAAGGTCTTCACATCGGTGTCCGCGAGTCCATCCCTCGAGAAAGAAGAGTGGCTGGGCGAAGTCGGCCCTTCCGAAGATCGAATGCTGGTTAAAGTTGTGGCCCTCTCCCGACCCGTCGACCAGTTGGTTGAAAACAGCGATGGGCCGAAGGGGCCGCCACCTCCCAAGAAGTTGCTTCTTTGTGGCATCGAACCAGCTCGAAGGCGAGATAGCGATGTCGGGTTGGGCACACTAGTTGCACTCGCGACCTTGGAACTTGCATCTATGCCGGAAACGCCGGGAGGCCTAAAGGGACTAGTTGAGGGTGTGGGCCGTGAAGTTTGCGGCATATAAGGCTGCTGAAGATCCATCTCATTCAGCGTGCCCATTGGAGGGAAACGAGATGGAACCGTTCCAGCGCGAGCTCGGCGACCAGGGCTGTCCATTGAGCCATTGGTGGTAGGCATCAAATCGGGAAAGCTATCTTGACTCGGCGATTCGGGAATATTCTCGCGAAGCGGGGTTGAATGGCCACTAGTAGGAGGTCCCCAAATACTAGGAGAAATGCCTTCTTGCGCTTGAATTTCACGGGCTCTGCACGAAGAGTCAAGATGTCAGCCAATTGTCGCGTTCTCATGTCTCATGGGAAGCAAACTTACCGCTTAGAGTATAGACGTGATGCCAAATCGTGAGAAGGGGAGCCAGCCCCCGGCCTCGAACTACCAATGGACCCCGGAGAAGGTCCAAACGGCATTCTTGAGTTTCCAGACCCTGCCAGTTCACTGGGAGAGCTGCGCCCCGTCGAGGTACCCGACATGGGTTGGGTGGTTGGGATGTAATTGAAATTCATCTGACCGTCAGGTCGCGAAACCGGCAACATTATGGATTATCACTTTATGCCTTCAGCAAGGCAGTGCCCGAATCTCTTCGAAAATATGACCTCCGCGCGAATGCCAAAGCGGAGTAAAGTCGGAAATTAAATGTAGCTTGATCGTTCAGAAGTGTGGGACAGTAATCATGGGATAAGAATAGAGTGAAAGATCGAGGACACTAGAAACAGAACTCGAAATTAGTTGACGTTCGAAATATGTGGGTTACTATCGGGGGGTCGCAAAGTGGGAGGGGTCGACAAAGCAATTTCACAAATTTGAGATGAATTATGGGAATATTTCGTACCGAGTCCGATGTTTTCCAAGTACAGCCACCACTGTGCAGTGTCGAGGGTCTTTGATGATAATCTCACCGTTTGCTCGGGGTGTATGACAATCTGCGGGTGCCCCAAAGCAATCGAGATGAGCTAAAGAAAAGAAGAAAAAAAAAAGATAAATTCTTTTCTATTGTCGTCAAAGGCTCAAAAACACGGCGAATTCACAAGGATGGTCTGGCACAAAGTGCGTCAAGTGAGAAATAAAAGATGGAAAGGATGATCCGGGTCCAAAGGGATCGAGGTGGCTGGAAGTTGAGTTAGGTGTTGCGCTCGCGGGATTGTCATTCAATACTAACCGAAAGATGAATTCACCCTAAGAATGCAGAAAGCCAAAGAAAAAAAAAAAAAGAGACGTGAGAAAGAAGTCAAAGGGAGGATGAGAAGGGGAGATGAAAAGAAGGAGAAGAGATGTTGGGGAGCTGGCCGGATGCCCGAGGAAGATGGCTGTGGTTGGTGGAGGGCCCTCCTTCAGCTTCACCCACAACTCGATTGTTGATTCAGATGAATTTTGGGTTAAAATATGGACTGAATGATTGAATGTAATTGGATCCATTTACGCTTTGACTCTTATAGTTGGTTTCATTTTCTATCGATTTCTAGCATATCCAAGAAACATAAATACCTAGACGGATATCCAGGAGAACTCCCATAATGCGTCTTGTGTACATTCAAACATTCAAACATCCCAAGGGGAATAAATATCGGGAATCGGCATCCTCCAAGCGTTTGGTAATGGCACAGCCCCATCGATGTCATTGATTTCAGGCAGACTCTATTCTGGGTAGACATCGTGAGGTATCAAGAAATCTAAAGAGGTATATCCATGGATGTTTAGTACAGATACTAGACCTTTATAACCCCAGCATTCCCTCCAGAAAATCCAATCCAAAGTTCTGTCAGACAAAATGCCGTTCATGGCATGACCACGAAAAGGGAGACAAGTGGAAACGAAAAAAAAAGCCCCGCATTCCAGTGCGTCATGCCTCGACGCTTGAATCCTTGACAGGATATGGATGAAGCAGGCTCATCGCAATATTGTCTTGGAGTATGGGATATGATGCAATCGGTCATGTAAGGAAAACATTGAATTGACTGAGGAATTGAAACCATGAAACCACAAAACACTGTGTTTTGGGTGCGCGCAAGGGATATGGGTCAGGTACGTGTCCTCGTCCTTGTTCCCAGGGGCGTCAGGCCTAGAGCCCTCTCGGGCTGGTCAATAGTGGCTGTGCTAAGGAACGTAACTAGATCAGACTTGATCTGTCGACTGCTGGGTACCTTGAAGAACTCCAGGGTATTTTCTGGATCTTCAGGGTGTTCGCCAAGCTTCCAGAAGCATTCGGTATGGCGGAAGAGCCGGAAGGTTCATGGTATCGTGGTACATAATAAGATGGATTGACACTTCTAGGATACTAGTTGGAGTAGTATCAGTCACTATGCAATGAAAGTAGGACCAAATGAACGATCAGAGAAACCTGGTGTCGTTGCTTCAAGGTCGATGTAAACACGTTAGTCAAGACCATTGGTCAGACCATTCCTTCTCGCCTGAGGCATCAACTTTTCTTTCGCGCCACTACCTGTTCAAGCCACTCCCCTTGCCAACTTGCCCGCAACGGTACTTTCCCATCACTTCAACTCCTCTTATTTAAACGTGTGGCAGAATCCACATTCTATATGTTATAGTTTTCCAAATCTGTGCTGATTATTGACACACGATTCAAGCCTAGTTTGTCGCGCGCGTCCCCTTCTCGCGTCCGATGCTTAATCGTCCACTTTTAAGGCATCTGCCACCCCAGTAACACCATGGCCGATATTGTGGAAGAAGACCCATCGTCAGGGCTTCAATCGTCGGAGGAAGAGGATATGCCCGTGGAGTCATTGGTCAAAGGGCGCGCGAAACGAAGTACCGCGGGACTGCACATGTCTGCCCTTCTTGAGGCCGCTGCGGATGATGACTTGGCGCTTCTCTTCGAAGAAGTCGAAGACGATAATGAGTTTGCGGATGTGGTAGACCCCGACGCAGAGGATGAGTTACTTGAATCGTCGGACGAGGATGAAGACCAAGGGCCGAACGCGCAGAACGACTACGAGGGCGAACAGAAACTACAAAAAGACGAGCGCAAGAAGCGCAGAGCCCAGAATGACCTCCGGTTCCAGACCTTGCGCAAACGAGTCAAGATCGATCCGACTGCCCCATCCGCCATGTCCGCCGCTCCTCGTCCGAAGAAAAAGTCGGAGCGCATCTCGTGGATTCCCACTGTGGAGGATGGGCCTACTCGGCAATCATCGCGTCGGCAGACCATGGTCAACAAGGAGCTTACCCATGCTCGCCTCAAGGACAGCCAGGAGAAACGGGTCCGTATAATCGCTACAATGAAGGAGGCAGAGAAGCGGAAGGCCCATTTGAAGCCGAAAGAGATGACCCAAGAAGACCATCTTGCGGAGGCTGCAAGAGTGGAACGGCTGAATAGCAAAAGTTTGAACCGCTGGGAGCTATCGGAAAAAAGAAAGGCGGACGAAAGACGAGCGAGGATCGAAGCACTACAAAATCGCCGTCTTGATGGTCCGGTGATTTCCTACTGGAGTGGTGTGGCTACATGGACGAACGGGCGTCTCACCCGAGTGGGCAAGATCGACATCAAACCAAAGGCAGATAAGGAGGAATCGAGGAAAAAAAAGAAAGAGAAGGAAGATAAGGAAAAGGCTACGGCAGAGGCAAAGGCCTTGGGGTCTGCAACCCTCGTTGGACCCGCCCCTGTCTCTACCACAGGCACATCACAACCGCCACCGGACTTCCATGCAGTTTCTGGTTCAACAAATCCAACAAATCCCGCTCTACCTCCCCCCACCTCCACATTAGACCAAAAGACGCCTGAAAACAAGCCACCCGAGAATGCTGCAGCTCCGACTGCAGAGAATACAGGCACCCCCGTGGTGTCTTCTGGGGCGATCGTTAGCCAACCAGATGCAAACTCTTCCGAGGCGAAGACAATCACGACGCCTCCTACCGAACAGGGGAAGGATAATGCTGCAGAAAGCAAAGCCCCGGAGGTTGACGCAAATACATCAGTACCACATTTTAAGCAAGATCAATCTATCACCACCGAAAGGGTGTTCTCGGAGTCGTCTAAGCAATCGGAGAGAACGATGTTTGCTGTGGAAATTCCAGCGTCTCGTCGTGGATTAGATTCTGCGGGTAATGGCTCTACTCAAAAATCACCTGAACCGTCTCCCACCAAGAACGACGATGCTTTAGATATTGATCAACCTCCAGCGGCTGCCGCGGCTGCAGATTCTACCAAGATTGATCAAAAAATTCCAGGTTCAGCAGACCAGGCAAGCTTGGCCACTCCGCAGGTCGCTAGTGCCCAATCGACTTCCATAGAGACGCCTACATCACATGCTGCTGGGAAAGTTGTACGAGAACCGCCAGTGGACGAGTCTCGGCCAGTTGAATTCGCCACTGCTATCAGCCCTGGGGTTGCACTGGCCCCTAAAGCCTCGCCGGCCACTGCAGCACCTGGTCAAGCCACGGTGCCCGAACATGTCCCAGTCCAGAACCTAAACCAAGCCTCCACATTACAGCCCGAATCACAATCATCAAATGGAAGGGTGAAGGAAACTGCACAACCACCACAACCAGAGATTCCGGAACCCCCTCCAGTAATTGAGAATACGGGACGCTGTCTTACGATCTTGGAAAACTTTGATTATGCGACCGCCAACCATCGCAAATACAGCATGTACTTCAACGCCAAGAAACCTGCCCGTTTGACCAGTACGTATCAGTTCGCTTCATTCTTAGGAACCCGTTCAGGCTAACCTCACATAATAGAAATCTCGTCATCGCTTTGTGTCATCACCTCATTGCCTTCGCGTTACCGCGATCCAGACACTGCTCTTCCTTACGCCAATTCATACGCATATAGCCAAATCCGCCGTCTGCTGTCGGAAGGGTATATCTGGAGCTCGATGCTTGGATGCTTTGTCGGCCCGGCCGAGGCTGCCCGCGGGGTGCCCGAGCGTTTCACAGGCAAGCCAGGTCCAGGCACAATAAAACTACAGACTAATAAGGCTGAGGGCCAGGCCGAGTCTATTACAGGGAAGAGCATAGACAGAATGGCTCTCAACAACGATGTTCCCTCGACGCCTACCCCGGCCGCGACTCGAGCGGCGCCTCCAGAGCCAATGGAGATTGATAAAGCATGAGTGATTATTTGTACGATATTTAGTAGATACCCAGATAGAATCGAGACCTAATAACCCAAACGTCAGCATCACCTCTACTCCACATTAATGGACTTTGTCTAAGACTCTACAGAACCTTTCCTGTCAAAGCTTCACTCCTATGATGTATTCTATGTTACAGATGTCATCGGCCCCACTGTTAAAAAAAATCAATTTCAACTTCGCCCTGTGATATTTTATCCCCCGATCTAGCTTATCCAAGGAACGAATTCGGGACCCGGCGGAAAGCAAACGGGAAAGAGGAAAGACGACCACAAACAAACTCCTAATAAGAAGGTTATCTTCTGATGTAAACAAGTTGAAGAATATCTTCCGGGAATTGTTCTCGAAAGCCCCGGTTTTCCCCATAGACCCGAAACACGGAAGATCGACGATTAGCACTCGAGGCCTAGAATGATGCCCACATCTCTCTGACGAGGCCCCTGTAACACTATATCGTAATAGGTAGACGTGTCCAGGGTGTGTGTCTGTGTGTGTGTGTGTGGCACTTAATATACTATCCCCACAGAGATTCTCGATTATTCGATTTTGGTTGTCGCCGTAGCCGGCAGTTATTCTTTTCCATGTGGGTTTTATCTTTGACTATTACTTTGTACAAAATCTAACAAAAAAAAAAATGCTATATGTAAATAATGGGGTGATGATGTATTTCATACCCACCAGTTCACGCCATCTGGGTCTATAAATGAAATCCTTTAAAGTCGTCGAGGCATTTATGGCGTCATTTAGAATGTAGTTTTTCTTCCATGGTATATGGTATGTACATGTATACAAGTTATTAAATCGTAGATTGTGAGGAATGGTGCCAATCTACCGATCTCGCCAGATCCGATCCCCTCCGGGGATATAGTCCCTGCGCTACTGCGTGCATATACTTGGCACATCTGTGCGTTTAGGTCTAGGATCCAAGAAAACGCAATATACCTAATGAAGTAAAGTAGTGGAGAATTGATAATGACAGATCAGATCCAAAGAAATAGAAACATGCCATATAACAAAAATACCAAAATATACAAGACCGACTAATTATAGTGGACAGCCCTAAAGGTGCTCGTCACAAGTGACTCAGCTGGTCTAGATCGGGGATTGCGTGTCGAGGGGCAAGTACCCTGAGAGTACCTGGTAAGTACCAGAGAAGTACTCTTTTTGCCGCAAATATACCTAAGACGGTCGGGAGTGACTTACCCGGTACTTGGCGTCGAATTGTGTTTCAAAGAGTCTAGACGTGATCGTCTCATCCTACCGCAACAGCACGTTTCTCTTTCTCTTCTTCTCTTCAGGGCTGTTTTTCTCCCATCCCACTTTGTTTTTTTTATTTTTTTTATATATATTTCAATTCATTCCCCTCCTTTTTAATTAATTCCTTCTGTGTCACTCTTCACTTTCTCCAATCTCAAGTGCCAATTTATAGACTTTAGAGACATTTCCCCTTTGGTATGTCACGCCTTATCTCTATATCCACCTTATCTCTCCCCACTCACAGGCTAAAGATAGCCCCGTTGCATCAAATGCTGTCTGTGTCAGATGCTAACACCTTATCAGCATCTACTTTTCTTCACCCCACGTTTCTCAATTATACATACTCCGGTATTTCTTCTATTTTGTCAAGCATTTGTATTCTCAATTGCACCGACTCGGCACATTCCAGTTGGAATCAATACTTTGGCCACAAATCCCTCAGTCTGTGCTCCCCCAGGGGTCCTTGTGCTCCACACTGGCTCCAGTCTCGGCGATAGAGTCTTCTCGATAAGATAGTGAGGCATTTGAAAGCCTTCACCGCCACCCATGACTCAAACAGCCCCCTTTCAACGCCGCTCCCCTTCCTCTCCTCATGCCTCCAAGTCCAAGTCTACTCGTCCAGCTTTACATCGACGGGGGACATCCGGTGCCAACGTCTCAATCTCCAAATTAGGCTCGGGACAAAAGGGAGCGAGCAAACCACCGACGTCTACGGACGATATCGAATTTGACATGGCTAGTTTCTTGAACTTTTGGTATGTGATCGACCCAAAGCTCTTATCTTTGAATCCTGCAGGGATCATTTCCCTCACATGCCTGTTGCCGTCATTTGTGTCTCATACACCGGTCTTTTCTTCAATGAACATAAAGCTGACCCAATTCCAGTGCCATGTGTGAGAACCAAATTACCGTTCCCAACAATACTTTGTTATATTGTAGCGAAAGGTATGTGACAATCCCTGCGGCCTATATTTAGAGCCATTGATATCCTCTCCTTCTCTTTCTCTCTCAATTCTTTGTTTGGGACCTGCATTCATATATATTTTGGTATTCGAATACTTATCATTTCCTTTTACCTATATAGTTGCCGCCGCAAAGACTCCTGCAAACCACTTTCAGCATCACTCCCATCCATGTCCTCAATGTCTTCCAACACTACACCACCCACATCTCCCCCTCTCTCTCCACGCACAATCGTGGCCCCATTGACCCCAACCAGGGTGCCAAGCCACTCCATCCCTACCATGCGGATACTCAGCCACGTGCATGATGCCAAGTCAGATCTCGACCCCACCGAATGGAAGCCCGTATTAACGCGCAACGCCTCATCCCTGGCATCCTCCGACGCATGGAACTATCTCTCCCAGTTCCACCGCGGCACCGGCGAGCCCATGCTCTCCCGACCCACCGTTCAACGCAGCAGCTCCAGCCTTCCCGCCCTGGCCGGAGGTGTGGCCCACAGCCACAGTCACGTGCCCAGTCTGACAAACACCCCGTCCACCGTGGCTTCGTCCTTCAGCAGCACCGCCTCCGACTACCTGGGTAGCATGTACGAGGCTCGCCCGCTGCCCCCGCGCCACAACCCGTATTTCTCCGGTACGAGCGTGACCAAGGGCGTCGAGCTGGTCGTCCCGCACATCGCTTCTGCGCATGAGGATCTCGGCCCCATCGGTGTCTCGGATAGTGGCTCTATTTTCCCGGCCAGCAGTGCTGTGTGGGAAGATAGCTCGTATGAGAAACGATCTGCTCCTATTTGCATGGCGCGGGGTATTGGCGGCCGGCCCGTCGAGACTTGCGTAAAGAACTGAATGGAACAAAAAAAAAATCGACTTGTTTGCTGTCTCGTAAAATCAGATGAGCTTAGTCTTTGCTCTTTTTTTCCTCCTTTGCTTCTTTTTCGGTTGATTTCTCGTGCCCCCGTGCCTGTTCTTTTCTTCTTTTGAATTCTGGGTCCGAGCGAAGTGTGACTCTTCAGCGTCGAAAATGATATGATCTGATGGATTTTTGCTCTTTATTTATTCCCTACTATCTATCCGAGCGAATATAGACTTTCTTAATGCGGATATCTCTGGTATCTAGATCAAATGAACCCTTCGGAATTATTTTCATCTATCTCCCTCCCCATCGAGATTCAGTAAATTAAGCAATGTTAGTCTGGTTCTTTAATTCAAGCTTATTTGTTTGTGGGTACATCTATCACCAGATCTGAGGTGCTTATCTGCTGTGCAGATGTACCGCATGCACGTAATATACCATGTAATTGAGTTCAGGCTGATAGATCGGAGGCTGGAAATTAGGGCTAGTCAATCCCAGCGCCGGTGAAGCTTTCTACCTTAGTCTACACACTCCTATCCTAATTCATCCAATGAATGGTCACATTATAACAAAACGAAATAAATATCTTCCGAGAAAGGCGGGAAGAATCTCATAAAGAAGCATAAGAATCGAAACAATGGAGGAACATCCTAAATCCTTCGAGATCCATCTCGCCCATCATCTCTGTCATGAAAAAGATACCAAATAAACCGATCTCTCACAATCCAATATCCAGGTATAAACTCTAGAAATCAGAAGTAAAGCAGCACACATAGCACCCTTTAGCCGGCTTATAGACAGCCGAAGACTAGGAATTAAAGTATTAGTAAACCAAGATATACATCTGTACCTCTATACCTGTGTCTCATACGCAGGAAGAGGAAAGAAGGAAAGAAAGAAAGAAAAAAAACTCACATAAGGCTTCGCACACTGCGCCTCACTCTCATCCTCAAAACACCTCCCCATACAGAAAGTATTCCCCTCATCCTTTCCATGCTTCGAGTTCGTGAACAGCGGAGGTTGCGCAACCTGCGAATCAGGTTTCAACGGGTTGGTCGGTGCAATACCACCCGAAGCTCCGGCTGACACGTCCTCGTCCTCGTCCTCTGAGTCGAAGAGGGGTTCATAGGACCGAGGCCAGTACTGGGACTGGTCTTTGTTGGATTCCGGTGCTTGGGGGGCAGGAGCAGGAGCCTGGTAAGCCGACTGCGTAGCAAATGGTTGAGAGGCAGCCGGGGTTGGGTAATTGTACTCGTACCCAGGCGCCGAGGCCTGATACGGAGCAACAAATGCCTGAGAAGGGCGCGCCACGAACGTACTGTAGATCAAAGTTGGCGATGATGGTGGGGCTTGGATTGGGGTATGAGGACTCGAGAGGAGGTTTCCATAGCCGTCGTAGACGGCATCGTAATTGCCGGAGTTGCCATTGTGGTCGGGGTTGTGGTTCTGGCCCTGGTTCTGGTTCTGGTTCTGGTCGTTATCCACACCGTTGATGTTTTTGAGGTATTCGAGTTCCTCTGGGCTTGGGCCGTATTGTGCCGAAGCGAGAGAGGCGCTGAGCAGGAGGAGGGTAGAAAGATGCATGTTTAATTGGTCTTTCTGTTTTACTTGTCGCTGCTGTTTGTCGATTGTCGGAGGCGAAGATACAATCAACGCGCGGGATCAAGGTTAGTTATTAGTATTTCACGCGTTCATTGGGAATGGAGGGTTGTTTTAGGTGTCGCGCTGGTGGCATTTTTGGGTGGCAGTGGAATGTGGGGTTTGTATACATTGGCATGCACAGCATAACTCTTAACTATATGACACGGTGTATAAACTAGGTAAGGTGGGGTTATCGAATTGAGTAATTGGTCTATTGGTTTGTCTAGCTAGTAGTTAATTGTTGTTCTTTACTTGATTCCGACCTGGCAAGAGGTATGGGCTTGGCTCATGATGGCTGCATATCAACATTCGAAGTGGATTGATAAAGAGGACAACTGGTCCCTTGATTAGTATCCCTGGGATTTAAGGCACGAGTGTAGATTGACAAAATATATATCGAAGATTGTATGCTGGAAATAAAATCCACATCCGGTAGTCCGTAGAGATGATATGTTAGTAAGGTTATTAGATTCCATGGTACAATGAACCTAACTTAAAATCAATGTCAAATCGTCAGGTCATCTGCCCGGGACCTGTCATGTTTGGGTAAGCGTTTTACTCCAAGCAGCCAATTTTAAATTTCCCAACGTTGTAACGAGCTTGATGCTCTGAGAGGCTGATGTGAGGCTAGAAAGTTAGGTAACTCAGGGCTATGATGAGCCACTGATTCACTCTCGTCCCCCTTCATCCATGTAGGTAGCGTGGGCTCTTGCTGGGTTATGTTCTCTAAAGAATGTATTTCCCCCTGATCGAGCGTCAACCTGAATAACAAATCATCCAAAGAAAACAGAAAACACTATGCAAAGAGACAACATTGTTAAACTACCTAGGTAGACCAACATGACTTCGTCAACGGAGCATTTGGTACCACTTGACGCATGGCCTCATCAATCTTTGGAGGTTCCACTGCACATAAAAACGGGGCCCCCCGTACCAAGGGCAATATCAAAAGTAATATCAAGAGCCTCTATATTCTGCTGTTGTGTTGTTTCCAGCCACCACATTGGTGGTAGTGAGACCCGAACCCTGAAGAAGACCCGGGTCGGCCCGGTCACAGGACATTCTCTCGAGGTTTCACATCCATGAGAACTTCTTAACACGCCCTACCATCTTCGCGTATTGGCGGAGCACGGTCCGGACTCCGAATTCCTCGTTAACCATCAATGTACTTTATAGAACGCAAGTCTGACGCTAACTGCGTTTTCCAATGTTGGCGTTGGTGGAGCCCCCTCCAATAAAACCTCGCCAGGAACTATTTTCCTCGTTATGGGTGGATCCAATTAGACGGGGTGAAGGATAGGGGAAATTGCGGACTTCGTACCTTTCTTATGGTGGCTGCTCGTGTGCTGCCAGGGAGAAATGGCAACTAGAAAATCTTGAGGTGTATTCCCGAGATGAGGTCGTACCCGGAAAGACTGCTGACATCGCTTGGTGACAGGGATCTTTCCAAGATTACTGACAAGTGATGTCGAAGGGGTCCAGCCTTCGGCTTCCAAGTAGGCAGACCTCGCACCTGCTTTCTCACTCAAGTCTCATATCCATCCTACCCATGATACATCACCGTTACCGACAAGAAAGCCTCATGTTGATGAGAAAACGACCACAGGAGGGAACTGCCCCGGTCATGCATCGAGCAGACAAAATGGGGCAACTGCCTACCTTGGAAGGTTACCGACTGTTGTACAATGACTGACTTGGACAGATCGGATGTCACCCACAGGCTACAGCGGACGATGACAGCGCTGCTTGTTCTCAGTGTGCCTAAAAAACATGACGACACCCTCCTTTTTTTTTTTTTTTTTTTTTTTTTTTTTTTTTTTTGCCGTGCACAGAGCCACCGTCGATGCCCATCAAGACCCCAATCGAAAGCCCGACAACACCAAAGCAATCTTCGACTTGGCCTGGACTTGGCCCGGATGAAACAGCCTCGAATCACCGATCAATGCTCTCCTTATTGCGTCTGGCTCAGATGATCACGGCCTTCTTGTACTCCGTGACGATGAGACCTTTTGCTCAAGTTAACATCCGTCCCGAAGACGGTCTTCCAACACGGACCTTTCTGTGGCTTGCAAAATCAACAGACATCATGGCTCTTGACCTGAATCGACATGAAACCACATACACCGGCATCAGGGATGCACAAAGACGACCCACGACAACGTCCGCAAAGAATAGTTTGGTGACGGTACCCATGGCTCCGTACTGCAATACCAGTCACTTACCTTTGTTCCCATCTCGGTACCTGTTCATTCTTACAAAACACCGTCATCAAGCCCACCTGTCCAATAAATACCCCACAAATACCCCACAAATACCCTGGTGACGGAAACTGAGATGGTCCATCGGACACAAGACACGCTATAATACGGCAGTAATGACGTGTTACGCATGGCCAATAACCGAAAGCGTCGGTATAAGGACTGGTGCCACATCATGCTCGCAGAGAGGGACATAGGAGCCCAGGGGTTGGGCTTGGTTGGGTTGGTATATCATACCAAACCCAACTCTAGACTCCGCATCAAATGCTGGTTGCATGTCAAACCCCCCGAGTTGTGGTATTCAATCTAATATCCAGGCACAATAACTGAATATTACTATGAAGTGTTGGCGAATCGGTCCTTCCATCCAGCCACGTCCATGACCCTCATAGCCGGACGGCTATGTCATTATAACCCTTGTCCTGCTTTAAACGGCCAGCAATCGATGTCTAGACAGTCTCACAAGGCATTCAAGGCGTGATGCTCAAGTTTCAAAACCTTCGGAGGACGTGGTACCGGGAACGAAATCTTCGGGATCATGTAATCGATGTCTGGCGAGAAGAGCTCGCCGTGCTCTCCTTATAGGTGCGGTCGAGTGTACGGCAATGGATACAGCGTGGATATGGAGGATTCGATTGTCAAAAAGACAAGAAGGAGAGGGAACAGGTGGCTTAGTATTGTCCCGACGTTGGAGAAAGGGAATGCGGCGCTAACAAAGGGTCTTGAACGGAAAGAGCGAGTCAGCATGCGGTTTCTATGAAAGCTGAGTGCTGTGAAAGCTGAGTACTGTTCAGACAAGACCGAGAGAACTTCACTTCTTCAATATGTTCTCTTGGGGGTGAAAGAAAACAAAATCCAATCCCAGGGATACCCAATAAACCCGTTCGGGTTGCGAGTTGACGAGACAACGTTTCTGCAGATTGTCCACAACCAGTATCCACAGCTTCGGTTCCGAGGTATAGTGAAAGGGTCCACGCGTCACGAGTCATCGAGATGGAGGGTCACATTTCATCTTTGCTAAAGACACTTGCAGTCAGTTTAATCGCAGTTAGTTCGAGTCCACTTGAGAGTCTAGCCGTCCCAATTTGCTACCATTTTCCGGGGTCTATCTGGAATAGTGAAACAAAAATGATACAAAGCATTATCACTGCATCCCTCGACAAACAAACTACCTTGAACAGAAAGCCCAAAGTCGCTACGGATGCAAAAAAAAAAAAAAAAAAAAAAAAAAAAAAAAAAAAAAAAAATCCTTTGCTTCTATGGAATCAAGGATCTATCTGGAGGGAGATATCCGGCAATCCGAATACATGGCCTCCAAATTCGCATCATTTTTCCAGCAATTCACCGACCAGGACCAAGGCACAAAGTTCAAAGTTCAAAGTTCAAAAATCCGGCGAAAAAATAATAATAAATGAGCTTAGGTTGAGCCAAATATGATGCTTGGATATCTCTATGGAGAAAACTACAATTGATTAGCTGGCACTTTTATTCGACCGATTCGTCTTGACAACCGTGAACAACAATGCAATTCTTTGATTTTTGGGAGGATCTTTTCTTTATTCTAACTCCTGAAATTTTCTAGTGATTGTTAAGATACAATCTGGAGAGCCCTAACTTGAAAGTATCCCATTTATATTTCTCGTTTCCAATTCCCATTTGGGGTCCGGCTTAGTACCGAAGGTATCTTCCCCCCGACGACCTTTAGGTACCTTCAACTGCCCTTTAAAAGGTCCCACCTTTCCCTCTTTGACCTTCTCGAGTTCCATTTTCGAATCCCATCTCCTCGACCTTTCTACGAATTCTATGTATAAGACTATATTCCTCCAAGTCGGGTGATACTCGCCTATAAACACGTATGGCCGACCGCTCTGTGCCCCCAACCCCCTCATATCTTGTCAATACTCATACTTCGCCCTCTTAAACCCATTCATCCTTTAAAACCCTCGATTTCTCCCCCAAAATTGCCAGTAGTCCGGTTGCTGACTGTTCAGAAGTTGAGGTAGACACAGGTCGGATACCAAGGGATCCTTTTTGATCAGCTTCGAGCAACGATAGCCCAGACCATCCCCAAAGCCTCTCCCCACAGAGGAACAGAACGAACCCCCCCCCCTTCTGGACAACACAACCCTGACCCAACCCCAAACCCCAAGATGTCACATCGCACCGCAGCAAACTCCAACGGCCAAGGCCAGGGAGACCGCAACGAAGTCCGGCAAACCGAGTCGACAAGCGAGAATGCAGCAAGGTGAGAAGTCATCGTTCCCCGATCCGCCGCGAATTGCAAAAGAGACCTTCCATTCTCTCTCTCTCTCTTTACCTCTCTCGTTGCTCTCCTTTTTCCCCGAACGCATCTTCCCCCGTAAACAAAAACCCCCTTCCGACAACCCTTAAGTGATCGCAAGCTGAGATCTCGTGACCTCCCCGCCCAGCCTGAACAGCGAACACAACAACGACTCAGCTGAGACCCGCCAGCAGGAACTCGACTTGGACTACTACCAGAAGTTCCTGGAAGATTTGGTCGCCGTCATGCGTGACGCTCCTAGCGATTCAGTCGCTCGGCTTGTTTTGCTTATTCGCTCCGGGGCGTCGAACGAGGATATCCACAATGCCATTCGACGCGTCCAGGATGAGAGCTAAACGGAGCTAAGCGGAGCTGGACGTCGCACTCTCCGGTATTCGACCTTGGCAATGAGAACCTGCGCCGTTGTTCGTGGCTTTTGGTGATTTGCCTTGTTGGTTTCTTGGAGCGTGGTCCAGCGAATTGAACCTTGGAAATGGGGGGTTGGGGGGTTGGGGGGTTGGCGTAATAAGCGAACAATCATGAGAGTGCCCTTCTTTCTTTCTTGCCTAGGTCTTGGAAAAGATCTAAGACAAACCAAATCCTGCAAGTCGCGTGGTAGCTCCCCACGCTTTGGTTTTTTGGGGCGGCATCTATGTTCTTTTCTGGGGTAGTTTGCCCTATGGGATTTGAATGTGTGGTGTGTTGTGTTGTGTCATATGTCATATCGCCCTAGTGTTGTCCGGGGGTATACATGAATAGGGTTGTTGAAAAGGAGAAGGAAAAATGACGATGTGCTCGAGTCAAAGAGCAAGAAAAACAAGAAAAAAAAAAGTACTTCTACCCAGTGGCAATGACAGGAGGCGATGCTGAACCAATAGCTGTCATATCGTTGATATGGGAACGTTGATATGCCTCAAGACGTCCAGGATATCAAGCTGCGAGATACATACCATACCCCCGGTATCAGAAGTGAAATACGACGAGTGACAGCAGCTTACCACTAACCCAAACATTCGTGGGACCCGATGCAAACCAATTGACCAGTGCGCGGCAAATCGTCATCCCCGGCAATGCGACGAAAGAACATCGGAGGGGATGAAAAATGATGCGAACGGGGACGTGTCCCGGGGGATGTGGACTGTGCCAAAATTGAGCATTCGTCTCTATGGGGGCGGGAGTTGCGGTTAAAACGAGGGGGAGGTAAGCTGTCGACTTTACGCGCGATGAACCCCCGTCCAAAAAAAAAAAAATCGGAACACAGATCTATTCTCTGCTCCCTTGGATACTGGAAACGGAAATATCCTAGACCTAGGGCTGCTTGGTCGTTTCTCGAAGGGGCTCGAGTAGAATGGGAACCCTGGTGGACTCACGGATTCTATCTCCGTGCGGTTTCGAGCAATGGAAGCACAGGATGTAGTAGATCACCCTTGTGCTACGCGCTTCTTTTTCTGTGGACGGGGATGCTCCTCTTCTCTCTTACGCACTGCTAGAGATGTCTTCAAGGCTTTGGTCTGTCTTGAAAAGGAGGTACCAACCCCATCTCAGAGATCGACTTGGGATTCATCTTTGCTCTGTCCGTCTCTGTTCCTGTAGACGGGGAGAGACCCAGACTCTCTTCGTCTCTCACTCTTCTCTCCGGGGGACAAGAGTGACAAGAGTGACAAGTCCCTGTCCGAACCTTTCCCAACCTTTCCAATGGAAAGTCCGTACTAACCCATCTCCCATTGTTGACTATAGGAGATGATAAGAGATGAACCAGGGACAGGACAGGGTTTCCCGCGACCCGAGACGACTACAGTAGGACACCACGCCGATTCGATCCCCCGTGACCATAACCAGACTCCGTCGAACTCGAGCTCGACTCCGATCTTTTTCTATACATAACTGACAATCCCATCTCCCATCCTTGATCACAGCTATGCCGTAACAATACCCATTACCCGTTCCCTACTGATCACAACCCTGGCATCACCAGCAGGCCAGCATCGCCAGCATTGCCAGACAACTTGATTCCATCGATGGGCCTAGTTGTTATAGCTGGAAGACGAATGCAAAAAGCAAAAGCCAAATCCAAAGGCAAGCCAAAGCCAATCGACAATAAATCCAAATGATGCACCAAATTCAACACCAACACGAAATCCATCTTCCCTTCACCGGTCAGGGGGCGAGGAGAGGCAGAAGACATGACAGTTCGTGTCACGTCGCGTGTGGACAGTCGTGTTGTGAATCTAGTTAAACTGCTGTGCAGACGGGACTCGGTTTGAGGCTGTGTGCGCATGCATGCTTCCGTTTTGGTTGATTTTGGAATCCCAGATGCCAGGGTCTGCTGGGTTTTACCGGCAACGACAATGGCAACGGGTTTGGCATCAGGAGCTGGGATCCTTTGGGCTTGGAAACTATATTCTGGGAGATCCTATAAGTCGAAGACTGCTCATGGGTGGACTATACATATGTCAGAGGGAATAGAAGACCTCGGGACTTGGTGTTTGGGGGCTATAGTGTGTTAGTATAGTGGATATCGGCTTAAAGAATCTTGCAGGGTATGATAGGCTTCAGTGGATATCCGTGTTTTCAAGACGAGCCAAACATACGTAAATCCTGCGTACCTGCGTACGTAACATAGAAAATAGAAACAGAATCGTTTTTCATTGATCTGAAGGAAATCTCATTCTTCGTCCATTGTAGCATGGGTGCTACATTCCCGTACCTATCGTGATCATGCTTACATATAACTTTTGTTTTTGACATATCTAAGGAGTGCAACGGCCAGTGTACCGGGGGTACAGTGAGCAGTCACGGACGGTATAACGGGCGCACAGCCAGGCCAAGAAACGCTCGAGACCGAGACCGTAGCCACCGTGAGGGGAGGTACCATACCTATTGTTCGAATGTTAGTATGGACGAATAAAAGACATTAAAGAAAAACAAATGCGAGAAATCAAAACTTACTTGCGCTGGTCAGTGTACCAGTAGTAGGGCGAGGGGTCCATGCCCTCATGCTTGTAGGCGGCCATCAGCTCATCCCAATTGTCCATTCTCATACTGCCTCCGACAATCTCGCCAACACCGGGCATGAGCACGTCAACACTCTCGGTGACACGGCGATCCTCGGGAGCCTTCTTCATGTAGAAGGCCTTGATATCGGCGGGGAAGTGAGTCAGGAAGATGGGCTGGTTGATGATATCGGTCATACGACGCTCAGCAGCCTCGGCAATATCATCACCGAACTGATGGGGCTGGCCCTCCTCGTTGGGGATTTCGTGCTCGATCAACCACTGGATAGCATCGTCGTACTTCATGCGACGGAAGGGACGAGACGGGGGCTTGAAGTCCGGGTTGAGCTGCTTGATATATCCGGCGATCTCGGGCTCAGCCAGGGTGTAGTCAATCACGCGGCAGATGATATCCTCGAGGTGGTCGAGCAGATCAGTGAAAGTGATGAAGTCCAACTCGGCTTCGATGTGCGTGTACTCCGACAGGTGGCGACGGGTCAGGGACTTCTCGGCACGGAAGGATGGGCACACACAGTACACATCACCGAGGGAGGGGAGACATGTCTCAAGGTACAGCTGCGAGGACTGGGTCAGGTAGGCGTTCTCGCCGTAGTAGTCGAATCCGAACAGAGTGCTGCCGCCCTCAACCTGGGTCTGCACCATGGCGGGAGGGGTCACCTCCAACATGCGGGTCTCCTCGAAGGCCTTGCGGAAAGCACGCAGAGTAGCAGCGCGCACCTTCATGACGGAGGAGGAGGTCTCACCGCGCAAAACCAAGTGGCGGTTGTCGTAGAGAGTCTGCGGGTCGGCGTCCGGCGCCACACGCGTGGTAATAGCCTCCTTGTCGCCAGCCGCCTTGCCGATGATCTCGAAGAAGTCGGCGTGCAGCTCGCGGTCGTTGGGCGCATGCTGCTTGGGGGGCACGGCGCGCATCTCACCGTGGATGGACATGGAGGTTTCGAGGGTGAGGGTCATGATGTCGTAGGTCTTGACCATGTCGCCGGTCAGGACACACTGCAGGTACCCGTAGCCATCGGTGAGAGTGATGAAAACGACATCCTTCTGGGCGCGGGCACGGTGAACTCGGCCCAGAACGCGAACTCGGGTCCCGGCTTCCTCGGACTCGGGGGTGCGCAGCTTGATGGTGGCCGGGTCGGTGACGTCCAGACGAACGCGCACGGGCTTGGGCAGCGAGGTGTTCTCCTTGATCACAACCTTCTTGGCGTCCTCAAGGACCTTCTGGCGCTTGTCGGCCTCGGCCTTCTCGCGGATGGCCAGTTCCTGTTCCTTGGCGGCCTTCTTCTTGCGCTGCTCCCAGAGGTTGTTGGCCTTCTTCATTGCCGATTTGGTAGCGGGCTTCCACTCCAATTTGGCCGCGGGATCGACATCCTCACCGGCGGCGTCGGTCTGGGACTTGCGTGTGAGGTACTGAATGCCTTCGGTGGTTGGGGGGTGTTCCACGTAGGCGTGGACGAGGGTCTTGTAGGGGGCGGTCTCGGTGCCGGTGGCGGGGGACTCGTCTCTACCGACGTCTTCGTCGATGTAGATGTTGGTGGACGCCATGATGGTTGGTCTAGTCCTTGTAGACCGAGGCTTTAATAAGGTTGCGAAAGAGTTCTGTGGGAGAGATAATTAATATAGGGTCTAATTTGTGAGTCATACACCGCAAGGCTAAAAGAATCCAGGTAGGACAGATTAGAATGTGACAAAGAGCAGACCTTACCTGATAACGCAGAGAATGGAACTCTTATCTCTTCCCAATTGCAAGTTGGCCAAGGGAGGAATCGCACATTGAGGTAGAGGGGTAAATTTCCGATAGATGCGGGATTCCCCACGGGTGCCTGAGGCATTAATCGTACTCTATTATCTCGGATATCGTTCGGAGTTTTTTTTTTTTTTTTTTTGAAATGATCTAACACTGACTGATTTATTCACAAATATCTGATATCAAATATGGATTCTAGATTCTAATCTTTTGAATCTATTCATTTATATGGATCTATTCTCATCCACAATATGTATAGTATATATGTGCTTATAGGATATCAAGGGATATACAATTTGAAGATTTGAAGCAGATCAACATTTTAAACTCAGCTACGAGTTGAGTCAGAACCTTAGCTAGGCAGCTTTCCCTTATTTAATCTATGCTAATGACAGAACTGACATGGGATATTGCAGTTCCAAGGTACTCCGTGGTCATTGGATAGATGTATAAAGGAAGTCACGGGACACGGGACATGGACCCTAGTATGTCCCCGGAGAGGCCACGGAGATTAAAGGAAGAGTATTTAAAAGACGTCCTCTAGATATTACTATGTTGTACATACAATTTCTATTAGTCTCACGAACATGTCAGGGGTAGGAGATTGAGTCGTGATCCAGTTCTGCAGGAGCCACGGGAACTCGAAGTTTGGGGAACCCGAGAGTTTATAATTTATAATTTATAATTTATATTCTTATTTTTTTTTATCTATTTTATCTATTCTATCTATTTTATATTGTTTGTGTCTTTTACATCTTTTATATCGGTTATTACATCGCGTGTTTTATTGAATATTCAATATATATACAATATACAATCTAATAGAGGACAACTGCAGATGTCTATAAATCAAATACTAAGACTATGAAGTTAGTCCCGCCCCTTAACCCACTCCTATCTATCCCCCTTTTGTTTTTTTTTTCCCTTTCCATACCTTACCTGGATTCACTTCCTTGCCTTTCATTCCTTTTCTCTACGCTCTTTTTCAACCCTTTTTTTTTATTTCTGTTTCTTCTATTTATTTTCAAGAATTATTTTCTAATTTTGTGATTAAAAAAAAAAAAAAAAGCCTGTCAACTGTAAACTCTTCCCCCAATTTCCCCCCAAGTCTTACCCCCTTTTTTTTTTCCTTCAGGTGTTTTTTTTTTTTTTTTCCCTTTTGGATTTCTTAACCTCTTTAAGCTAATGGTTTTTGTTTGTAGTTGAATCTTGGACTTGGATTCTTCTTCTTCTTCTTCTTCTTCTTCTTCTTCTTCTTCTCTCTCTCAGGAAGCTGGATATACCAGTTCTGCATGGGGGATTGACGGATATAAAAGTGGCATTCTCTTAAGAGAGAGAAAGAAAAGGACAGGTTTGTCTCCTATCCCCATTCCCCAATTTCACCCTGATTGAATGAAACATTCCAATTGACTTTTGGAACTTCATTTAGACACGTCTCCATTTGAAGAGCTTAGTCTTTTTTTTTTTTTTTTGATATTATTCCTTCTTCTCCACCCGACTCCTCCCTATTTTTCCCTCTCGGCCGTGGAGTCATCTCCTGAATGGTGATCTGATAATCCTCCCTTTATTTTATTTTTTATTTTTTTCCCTTTGTCCTCCTCAGAGCCTCTCAGTCTGGTAGTCAGGGCCTCTTATCCCCGACTAAGACTAGGTTCTTGTCTTTGGACAAGCGTTGAATTTATCTCGCCATGCAAGCCTCGGATGTATCGAGCATCCCGAATAACTCGCGTCTAATCCCTCCCGGGTCTAAATACGCGTTGAACGGTGACACTGGCTTTTCCCACGGAGCTTACAATAACAACCACCCCAACCCTATCCAAGGATTCTCGGATCGGAACGCTCGTCGCGCCAATATCCCCGCTATAAACACTGCCGCCGGCCAACACTCCGATATGACATCCGGCTTCGATATGAACTATACCCCCCTTCTCCCCTCCCAGCTGCTAGTAGGCAGTCCTTTCCAACCAGGAACTCCCTCGGCTTTCGCTTCGCCTCAGTTTGCCAATTTTGGTGGCTTCCCGCAGGCCAATGGCAATGGACACGCCCAAAACAACCAGAACCATATGCACAGCCCAACGCAAGGAATGCAGAACCACGGTTTGTATGGAATGATGTCACCTGATGGCATGGGTGCCTCTCAAATGATGGGACCTCAATCGCCAATCAATGGTCTTGGAGGTATGGGCAATGCGGCTCTTGGTAGCCCCCAAGCTTCCGTGGCTCCGGGCATGTTGTCAGGGACCAGCCGTACCGTGTATCTTGGAAACATCCCGGCTGAAACATCTGCTGAGGAGATTTTAAATCACGTGCGTAGCGGTCAAATTGAGTCGGTGCGCTTGCTCCCTGATAAGAACTGTGCCTTTATTTCCTTTTTGGATAGCAGCTCCGCCACTCATTTCCATTCAGATGCCATCTTGAAGAAGTTGGCCATCAAGGGAAATGACATCAAGGTCGGTTGGGGCAAGCCTTCACAGGTCCCCACCTCAGTAGCTCTGGCTGTGCAACAGTCGGGCGCGTCGCGTAATGTTTACCTTGGAAACTTGCCCGAGGAAACGTCCGAGGATGATCTGCGGGAGGATTTGGGCAAATTTGGGCCCATTGATACCGTTAAGATTGTTAAGGAGAAGGCGATTGGATTCGTCCATTTCCTGTCGATCAGTAATGCCATGAAGGCCGTCACCCAGCTTCCCCAGGAGCAGCAATGGCAAGCGCCAAAGCGGGTGTTCTACGGCAAGGACCGTTGTGCGTATGTGTCCAAGACTCAGCAGCAAAATGCTGCACAGTTCCTTGGAATCGCACCCGGATATGCGCACGTGCTGAACACCGCGGATCGCGATCTGATTTCTAATGCGCTTGCGCAGCAGTCTGTTGCCGCGGCCGCCGTGGCAACGACAGCGGGCGGTGTCAACAATCTCGGCAACCGCACCATCTACCTTGGAAATATTCACCCCGAAACTACTATCGAAGAGATCTGCAATGTCGTCCGCGGAGGCTTGCTGCACCATGTTCGATATATCCCCGATAAGCACATTTGCTTCGTTACATTCATCGATCCCACCTCGGCCGCCTCCTTCTACGCCCTGAGCAATCTGCAGGGGCTGATGATCCACAACCGACGCTTGAAGATTGGATGGGGCAAACACTCAGGTCCTCTCCCGCCCGCCATTGCGTTAGCAGTTAGCGGTGGTGCATCACGCAATGTCTACATTGGTAACTTGGACGAGGCCTGGACGGAGGAACGCCTTCGCCAGGACTTCTCGGAGTACGGTGAGATCGAGTTGGTGAACACACTGCGCGAGAAGAGCTGTGCCTTTGTCAACTTTACGAACATCGCCAATGCCATCAAGGCTATTGAGGGAATGCGCAATCGGGAGGACTACCGGCGATTCAAGATCAACTTCGGCAAGGACCGCTGCGGAAACCCACCGCGTCAAGCCGGAAACACCCCGAACGGACAGCAGAACCGCAACGGAACCGGCCTGGAAGGCCAGTCACCACCATCCGTTCTCAACGGATTCCAGCAGAACCTCAGCCAGTCTGGCTCCCAGTCCAGCCCGACTCGCCCTGCCCTTTCCCCAGCATCGGGGTCCACCGGCTCCCAAAATGGACAGCACCGCCACCCGCTACAGAACGTGACCTCTCCCTCTGGAGTTCTGAATGTCGGCTCGGGCAATCCGCTAACCATGTACCTGAATCAGATGTCTGCTCATCAGGCACAGGATCAAGAGAACCACCTCAACGACCCTATGACCCTCTCTAGCTTACAGTCCCAGTCACAGCAGTCGCTGTACAACAGTGTCAGCAACGGCGACATGTCAAATGGACACATGGACCCGCCTATGCACCAGCACAAGTCCACCAACAGCTACTTGAGTGTGACAAATGGATCAGGACACGGTCACCACGCAAGCACCAGCAGCCTTAGCGTGCCCCGTGCTTCGCACTCACGGGCTGTCAGCTTGCCCTCATTCTCCCAGGAGCCCTTCGGACCTGTCTCTGGTCAATCCGGCCACACTCGAGCGGGTGCGGCCCACCAGCCTCAAAGCAGTTTCTCCAGCTTCTCTGCCCTCGGTGGACTGAACCACTCAGGATTTGGCCTAGCCATTCAAAACGAAAACTCTCTGCCCGGCTGGGCTGAGGAGGAGATCGGAGCCAAATAATTATCTGCGCACGCTCCAAAGGATTCAACCTTTGACTCATTGTCCTCGGTGAACCTAATGCCACATTATTCTCTCTTCTTACATATAGTCCCTTTTTGATTGTCATGTCTTTCCTCCCCCCATTTGATTTGATTCGTTTCTTGTATTGGTCTTAATCTCTTTTTTTTTCACGTTGGACTCTTTGCCATTCACTTCCAACTGTTGTCTTTTATTTGCTACTTTTTTTTGGCTTTTCTGGATTTTCCCCTTTCGTCCGGACATATTCCGCTCGCAACGATTTTATATTCCCCTATTAATCCTTTTCACGCCACCTTTCCTTCTTTTACCACATTGTATTGCTAGCTGGCCTTGAGTCTCTTCCTTCTTTCATCTTTGACTTTTTTTTCTATCTCTTTATTTTGATTGGGGGCTGTGAGTACGCCGCATGTTTCATTGGATGATGACCATGGAGAGGGACGAGCGTGGCGGCGATTACCACGTTGCATAGCGACCATTTTCGATTTTGGTCCTATTGGCTTTTATTCCTAGAAGAAGAATGGCCATCTACCCACCACACTTGGAACATTAGTTAGAAATGTAAATGATCGTCTATCTATAATAGAAATCAGCCAGATTTTATACATGGAAATGACGCATCAAGTCACATGTTTTGGTCAATTGTATTTTCCTATTGGATCCATATTACATGTAGATACAGCTAGTCTCTTATTTTTGATTTATTTCCCCTCATTTTGCTCTGATGCAGATATCTGTCGTTGATATCCCCAATATTTAGATCACGTGATTGATAAACCCAGATCGGGTAAAGATCGGACACATCAAATTGGATGCTTCAAACCGCCTCATTCATTCGTCTCTCCTCCACAACCCCAAGCAATCCATCGCAAAATCTGCGCCATCTTTAGGTCATGGCGCTTCCACCAGAGCAAATCAATATCAAGCGTCGGCGCGAGGAAGAGCCGGTCGAGACCCTATGTACGAGAACAATCCCCTTGTTTTCTGCCCCGCAATATATACCCCTTTAAAGAGATACATAATACTATGGAAGTGGTTGTCCCTCGAGATGAAACTTCGACCGACACATTGACAACAGACACTGACTTACTCTGCAGTCATTCAATCCGCTCTCCACCAAACCAAGCGGCGCTTCACTGACTTCGTCTTCCACAGAGTCACTCTGAACGCGAGCGAGAGCAGGAATGGAGATGCATCCCCAAGTCCACCAACAACTCCAGCTGTGCAGCGGCTCCTGCGGAGCCCACGCTCAGTAAGCAGTCTTCATGTAAATCGGCGCGCGCCAGCATCCTCGATGGGCGTGCCCATGGTGCGGGCCACCTCACCAGGGGCAGAATTCCGCGAAGCGCAGCGCATTGCAAATGCACGCAAAGAAGCGGAAGAAAAGCACCGACGTGCCGTTTATGGGGGCCCTTCTCCTTTCACTGACCTACAGCCCAGCTCTGATGTCTCCCACCAACCCGTGGTGCGTGACAGCAGCCCGACGTCAGTGGAGACATCCTCCAGCCGCGCGCAGGCTCTGCGTCGCTTCCAGATCTCCCGCTCAAATCTCAACTCACTAAGAAGTTCCCCTGGGGGGATTCAGAAGCGACGCACTGGTGGTCCCGCTCCAGGTGTGGCTGTGCTCGTCGAGCAGCTGCAGCGGAATGCGCACTCGCGCAAGGCATCCATGGTCTCAGATCTGGTCACGGAAGCACGGGCTCTCTCGTTAAAGCCTAAGGAACTTGTCCAGGACATCGACGCCAGACCCCCATCACCAGTTAAGCCACGCAAACGGCCTGTCGTTAACCAGGCCGAGAAACGGTGGCGCGAGGAGCGCAAGGGTGCCATCTCAGCTGCGAAGCAGCATCTGTCAGATACCTTGGAAAAATCCGCTCAGACACAGCAGATGAGCTGGGATCAGGAGTCTGAACGTTTGGCCCATGATTTGGAGCAGGTCGCGCTGGAGCTCGAGCACGAGGCTAACCAAGACCATGGCATGGACATCGATGTCCCTGGGAAACCGGCTCCTCCTTCCCCTGCATCTTTACAGCATGCTCTCAGCCCAGCCCCTAAGCCCCCGTTGAAACATCAGCCCCGGCAGCCCAAGGGACCAAGAGTTGCACCTACGCCACCGCAGCCTGCGGAGCAAATTGAACAGGCTGTAGAGGCGGATGACGAAGGCGACTATGTCTACGATGTTTACGTCCGGCGTCCGCTATCGGAAGCTGAGATGCTGAAGAATCCACTCGCTGAATACGAGTCCGACCAGCAGCAAAAGGATATCGCCAAGGCTCAGCCTGGAGTCGGTGTTATTGTCATTACAGCCGAGGACGAGGAGTACTGGGACGATTTTGTCGAAGATGACGAGGAGGAGTGGGATAGTGAGGATGCGGACTCTAATGGTATCTGATGCTTTCCTTCCTTTTGCCCCCCTCCTTTACCCATTTTGCTTGCCCTCTTCATTTCCAACCCCATAGGCATCTGCTAACACCCTTCGACTACAGCTGAAAACCACCCCGGCAACGATTACCCAGATGAAGAAGCGTCGTCTGATGAAGACGAAGACTTTGACTTTGACGACTCAGCGAGCGAGGATGGCGGGGCTGGGTACATGTCTCGTTACCGTGGGCACGTAGACTCGGACGAAGACTACTGATCCCTGAATTGGTTGTTTATGGCTAGCATCAAACTAGTCCGCTATGCGACACTGCCCTTTTCCCACCTCTATCTTTGTTCTTGTTTTAGCAGAGCTCCGTTGGTCGAGCGTTTGCTTTGATTTACCTCGGATATCTCAAGTTCATATTTCCATCAAATAAACCAAGCTTTGTTTGCTACTTTCTTACCTGCTGCGACTACTAAGAGTCAAAACTTGATCAATGAGGAGCACCAGCTGCAGGGATTGGGGGGAAGGTGGCTGGGTCTAATGCTGAAACGCCTAGCTATACATGCCCCCCGTATATTGTCGACTGAAAGAGGAAATTGGTATATAAAGTAGGAGCAAACGAGCGCTGCATAGATGTTTAACGGGGTATGATCCCTAGATTAGCCATGCCGTATACCTACCCTTGCCTCCTAAACCATTAACCTACCATACCCAACACCCATATATTCTCGGTGGAATAAAGAGTTATCCCCGGACCGAACAATATGCCCGAAACAAAGAACCAAGATGAAAGAAAACGCCCTCCCCCACCGCCGATCCTGCATTGAAATTGAAACATGAAACGAAGCCACCACAACCTATACTATATACTATACAAAGTACCGCCTTTCTATCCAGTATCCCCAGCCGCGTAGGGATGCATACGTACAAGATAGGTCTTGGCAACCAGTAGCACCAAAAGCCCCATCCAACAGCGTCAAAAAATTACAACCCTAACTTGAGTCATGTCTCCCCACCACAACCACCCCCATTTACCAATTTCATACCTATCCCCGAACACCATTCTACCCGAATCCCGCCCCCCTCCCACAAAAACCGAAAAAGTATATCCATAAATTCCCATCAATGGGCGTGTCGTCGGAAGAATTCCGTACATGGAAAGTGATCAGGCAATCGAAGTTAAAACCGCACGAAGGGGTGTGTGAGCCAACGTTCAATTCTCCGATCTACCCCGGGCGAACCAACCAAGGGGCACGGGTTATGTTTGGGAGGGGGCGGTGCGGCTTTTCGCTTGTTTAATATTGAGATAGGAAGGAGTTAGTTCTCGTGCCATGTGGATTAGGTTCTTGGTATGATGCAGTCATCCTGAGATGTGATGAGATTTAGGGATGGGCCGGGGGCTGGCGTATTGCGGGGTAGATATGCAGATGAAGTCATTTGGAGGGTGTGCTAGGCGGGTAGAGGTGTTGGAGTTGGAGTTGGTTTGTTGAGAGATGGTTATTGCTTTGATTGCGTTGGTGATGATGATGATGATGATGATGTTGTTAGGTCAGGTGTCCGGATATACATGTCGGTGTGTCGATCTTGTATCTCGTACTTGATAGCTATATAGTTCATTGGCTAGAGAATATATATTTACTGTTATTCGTGTCTCCAGTTGGTTGGTTGAAGACGATTCATGGTGATCCATCTATATCAACCATAGTTATCGTATACATCCATGTAATGTACATCTTGCTACGGAGTACCCCGTACAGACCGGAGTTTGTTATAGCTAAAAGCCGAGATGTTCCTCGCTGTACAAATCAGTCTGGGTGCATACCCCGAAACAGTGCAATCTGCATGCTGCAGGAGGTCTATCCTATAGCGGTCACTAGTGTAGCGCTATAAGATATTGGGTGCAGCAACCTAGTAGCCAACCCAACAAACGGCGAACAACTTCTATTTGACATGAAATAGAATTCAATAAATAGTTGATAGTTGCACTTCCACGTGCGCGTTCCAACGGCGCTTGAGGAATGTATAATAGCCTTCGAGGCAAGGCTGCATATCAGTTTACATGCGGACACTCAACACATTTAAGACAAGGCTACCAAACCCCACTACCTCCTGCAGAAATAGCCCCATGTCTACCGGGAAACGCGGCCTAACACATGCAAAGTGTCGAAGATCATAAAAAAGAAGATAAAATTCGGCACGAAACCGGGCAGATCCCGGTGCATGCCAGATGTCTCGTAATCTTCACGCTTGTGCCTTTTACCCTTAGATAGGAAGATTAAAGAATAACTTCTCCGTGTTCTCCGGTTTCATTAAACCCACATTAATATTATTCATGTTTCGGCTACCCCGAAGTGTTTCCATGGGTGGAAACAAAAACCATAGTATCAGTCTGGTTCCATGGTTCACCTTCACATGCTGAATCTAATGTCTCAATTCTGGTTGGGCGGATATAAAATCTCTGTGAAGAGGTGAGGCTCTGCAAAAGGGAATTCAAAAATTCAAAATAAATACAAAATAAAACAAACCTGTCACGCTAAAGGTAATTTACTAATCCACGAAAAAGAAAAAAAAAAAAAAAAAAGAACCCCCTTGGAAGAATTACTTGTAAGGCAATTACATAGTAAATACTACAAAGTAAAATACAAGTACCGATCATTTTACCTTTTACCCCCCAATCCCTTCATTGATTCACTTGAGATATGTACTCCCTGTACTCCGTCTGCATGTCTCCAAACATGAAAACAACCATGCAACGTTCGGACTCGCAAAAGAATCTATGAGCGAGACCGACGTCACCCCCGAAGAGAATCCGCTTTATTCAAACCTGTACGGCCCCCTGCAATGGTCCAATGGGAACATTAACTATCAAGGGAAGGCTGTTGCCAAACCGAGTCAAGATGTGCGAGTTGTGCGAGGGGAATCTAGAGCATCCGCTATTAGTTAGGCTTGAATGTCCTGCAGCGGTCGGAGGAACATCGGAGAGGAGAATTCGTCCCATTAACTAGGATACCCTTGGTATCTATGTGATGTTGCAGTCTTTGAAGCGACCCTCGAAGACTCATACTACAGTTGTTACTGAATTACCTGAAGATCAATGCCAAGTCTGCTATACGATAGTGCCCGATTATACTTTGGCAGGTGCTAATAATATTCGAAAGGTAAATCGACCTGCCAAGGTGGGTGTATGGAGTAGAATGGATCCTTCGGTACTCTGTACGGAGTACAAAGTATGATGATTATACTTCAAGCTTATTATTACTCATTCTGAATTTGACCCAGAACTCGGAGAAATTCATGAATCACGAAAAGACTAACGACCTGCTAAACTAGGTATAGTTCCTTGATGCAATCACTGTCTGATGCCTCCTTCCAAAACAAATACGACCTCAACCTCAGAAAGCTAAGAATACTACACCCCAAAGACCATTATGCGCCCCTCTCCCCCCCCTCCTTTCGAACCACTCACCACTCACAGACGAAGCCCGGAGCGACACATTCCGAAGACCAATATCCGATACCCGATAGGCTGGCGCATTCAATCCATCAGCTGAAACATTGAAGTGCAGAAATAGCTCACGCCAGAAGGCCCGATCCCGGAGCTAATGACCCGGGTCTCTGGCTTCGGTGTGATGATGGCAGCATTAGTGTTTCGCCTTGTCGTCCATGCTCGGGGGCTGATTGGTGTGGCTGGGGCAAGAAGTACTATGCACGTGCGGGCATTGACTTGATCGGTGTACTCACCGATAGTTATAGAGGACGCCGTGCATTTGACTATTTACTACTTTAGGGATCGTGGGTGGTCCAAAGGGGGTATACAATGTCCGAATGCCAACGCGCGTGCATTCAACCCATGATCGCCGCGGTCGCTCATGATCATAAGTCGTAGAAGGTGATGCTATTGTTGTTAGTAGTCTTGTTCATTCTGACGAATGGGAGATGATTCTAACTGTTGGTTTCTTGGACTTTGTTTTTCCCACTTTTCTTTTTCATTTGAGGCTTTTTTTTATCCTTTACGAAGGATCCTCCATGTCACATCTCCCCATACGCCAACTTTCACACAGACGCACACCCTGGTCACCCCCTTCTTTCCTAACCCACGTCACACCCACTCCAAGCAGTATTCATAACCTTGCAGTGAAAATCTCTTTAATCGTTAAATAATAGGCTGTAGTACATCGTAGATATGGCGACATCCCGTCGTTTCACTGCACATCCTTCGATCGGCTGCTGTGTAACAGATTCCGTGCCAAATCAGGCCGCCAGGACTGATTGGAATCCACTGTGGGAAATTTGATAATCTGCAGGATGTAGAGTGTATTCACAGTAACCAGGGTGCCTTTTACAATATATTATACCAGAGTAATCTTCCAGAGAAAAAGAGACGATAGGCTAGAATTATCCTATCTGAATCTGACATTGACATTGTTCTCCACATGATGGGTGAACTTTGCATATACGCCCTATCAAATCACAATGCGAGACGGCTATGTTTAACCGGCAGTTGGCGGGCCAATTTAATTTAAGGTCTAGAGACTGGTTTACGCTACTCTGTATATGTATATGTATGCTCATACGACTGTACTGCACAGACCAGAGTTGAACCAGACATATCGTGCTCTCTAGAGCTGAAGAGTCGTCTGCAGATCAGAAATGGAAATAATCAAAATAATCAAAATCAAAATCAAAATCAACTTACATCGTACAATATATTGTATGCCGTGTAACCATCTACTACATATATATCCGTGGGTCTCCGGGTGAATTATGCACACCTGGGAGGCCTAAGATAAGGCAAGCCCCCTACAACATATAAAATCACGAGATTCTAGAACAATAACCGGGACCAAGCTAACGACAACGTAAGACAAAAAGAAGAAATAGATCATCCAAAAAAGAGAAATAAGCACAGCCTCCGTGAGTTCGTCACGAAATCCCACGTGTCACTAGTGCTTATAGGTGCTCCTCACCTCTCCACAGTCAGGATCATGCGGCTTCTTGGCTTGGGGGCGGACAATCGTGACTATGACACCTAGCATCGGGGATTATACACCCCAGAATTACACTGCGCAATATAGATTGTACCCCATCTTGATAACCACTAACCCCCAAGAAGGGAAAGCTAGGCGAGAAACGACTAACTCTGACACAGAAACTGAGGTTATACCCACTTTGCCCAGTCGTGAAGAAGATCGGCAAGGGAAAAATAGACATCCAATAGTGAACTGGAGATTATAGTATTATCGAAGAACGGGAAGACATCATGCAATATTTTT